CTGCAGTGGCAGGGCCGGCGCACGGGGCGGCAGCGGCGGCTGCGGGAGCGGCGGGTGTGTCGGCGGCTGCGGGAGCGGCGGATGTGGCTGCGCCGCCGCTGCTTGAGGCGGCCTCCCCTGGCTCGCACGTGGGGCGCGGAAGGCTCTCGGGTCTGACCGCTGGCTCAAGTTGCGATTCAGCGGCCGCTGGGGCGGCGCCGACGAGCTGCTTGCCCCTCGCGCCCCCACCGAGGCGGGAACGAGGAGGCTGCCGCCGGGGGCAGTGCTCGCAACGGTCGCGCCCTCGCTTCTCATGCTCTCCGCCGCCTCCACCATTGCATTGCCGCGCTCGAGGCCGGAGGCTGACACGGTGAGCGGCCGACCTCCGCCCGAGCGGAAGAAGGAGGCGGGCGCGTGCGCTCCCGGCGCACGCTGCTGCTGGCCTCGCAGCTGCTGCCGCGGCTGCACAGCGGGCTGTCGCTGCGGGGGCGGCGGCCGTTGTGGCTGCCGCTGCTGCTGCGCCGACGCACCGTGCTGAGGCGGCGGCGGCCTCTTTTGCTGGTACAGCTGCGGCGGCGGCATGAGGTGCTGCGGCGACGGCTGTTGTTGAGGCGGCGGCCGCGGCGGCAGCGACGGCGGCGGTGGGCGCGGCGGCAGTGGGCGTGGCGGCGGTGGGCGCGGCGGCGGTGGGCGCGGCGGCGGCTGAGGCGACGCAGGAGGCGGCGGTGCCATGCCTGGAGCCAGCATCTGCTGCCGGTGGAGCTGCTGCTGCACCTCGGCACCGCTCATGAAGCCTCCAGAGGCGCACACTTGCACCGGAGCGGCGTGCTCCGGAACAGGCCTCTTGGCCGGCGAACTGGGCGGCCAGTTTGAGCTCGAGCAGCCTGCAGATGATCGGCTCCTCTTTTGCCCCGAAGAGGCCGCGGCGGCGGACGCGGCGGAGGCAGTGGCGGCGGCGGCGGCGGCGGCGGAAGCGGTCGCGGCGGCGGCGGCTGCGGCGGATGCGGTGCCCGGCGGTGCCGGGCCGCCTGTCCCAGGTGCTTCCGGCACAGCATATGCCTCGCACTGCACCCGGTATGCGGCCCACTCGTGGGACCACACCCACAGGTGCGAGCACTGCCCTGGCCCGCGGCCGCCGGCGTTGCAGCGATAGAAGGACTTACCCTCGTTGGGCGGCTTGCAGTGGAACTCAATGACCTGCGCCCTTTGATGGCGCGAGCACACCGGCATTTGAGTGAGTGGATTTGCCAGCGGCAGCGCGCCGCGGCCGGGCGGCATTGGCGGAGCGAGGCGCTCTCGCTGGCCATGCCGCCGTGGAGCAAGCGGTGGTGGGTCACTCACGCCAGCCTCCATGGCGAGAGCCATGATGCCCGGGGCTGGCGTGGAGGGGCACGACATCACAACGCATCAGCCGGACGAGAGCGCACTCCCCGATGCAGGCAAGCTTCTGGCAGCTGGCTGCAGGCCGGCCAGGCGTGAATGCCCGCCAAGAGCGCGGGAAAATAGACGGAAGCTGCGTCACACGTCAGCTGGCTGTCGTGCGATTTACAAAAGGCGGGAGGGACGCTCTCCGGCCTCGGCTGAGTTCACGCACCACGGTCAGGGTGCCGAGCTGTTGTGAAAACGCTCCGTAGAGAGCCACCAGACAGAGAGTGGCTCAAGCCGTCAGTCCCAGGCCCCGGCGGGCCCCAGGTCCCAACCCCAGAGACCGCCTAAGCACCTAAGCGGCCTAAGCGGGGGGGCGAGCTAAGCTGAGATTGTCATACCACATGATGTGCCTGCCTATCGCTAAGTAAGACCTAAGTATGAGATTGCGGCCTCACAAAGCTCACGATCCGGTCGAGCCCTCGAATATCACACGCACGCACGTGGGGAGCTGGGAACGGCTCACCCCTTGGTTGGCGTCGGCGACAAGTAATTACGCAAGCTGGGGAGAATTGGACTGGACACCGGCGAAGATAAGTTTGGTCCAGAATTCATCAACTGTCGTGCTGATAACAGAAGTTGCCTCGACCTAAGTTCAGGCATCGTTTGCACTGGGTCCCTGCTTGAGTAATCGCTGGCCAGGGCTTGCTCGACGACTCACCCAGCTCCCCGTCGTCGTAGTCGTCGTCATCGTCACCGCTCTCGATAGCCTGATTCTTGAGCCCCTCACTGAGATCGTTGGCAGCCTTCTCGTAGCCGCCCATCGGCCGCTTCTGGGCGTCCTTGTATGGGGTCTGCACACAGACATTTGTGCCATTCTTGCCTTTCCCCTGCACCGTCGGGTCGACCAGGAGCGCCCACTCGAAGTTGCTGGAGTCGATGTTGTACAAAGCCTTCGTCTCACCCCATGAGTTGGAGGCGTGCATGCTCTCACCACTGTCATCGGCGTACTGGATGCAGACCGCGTGCAACCCGTGTCCACCCACGCTCGTGGTGATCACGCCAATCATGCACAAGCCGTTGGCCCACTTTTTCATTGTGGCGTGTGCTTTGTCGAAGCTGGTAATCTTGCCTCCATGCTCGACTTTGATCTGATAAGCCTCCTTCTTCTCAAGCGTCGGGACCCATGCTTCCTTTTTCCCCGACACGCCGTTCCATCCCTCACACATCGCAAGTGGATCGTGGCCCTCCCAGCAGTCGCACAGCGTCTCGACCTTTGCGAAAAGATGCGCTTGCTCAATGACGATGCCATACTTGCTGTACATGCCGTTGACGACGACCGTCGAGAACGCGTGTCCACAGCACGTGCCGAACTTCCCTTGGTTGTTGTGGGGAGCCGCCATGCGAACTGCCATCTGGACTAGTGGGGGCGGATGCCTAGTTACGACTGTACCCGGAGAGAGAGAGCCTTGCGCGCAAGGCTCAACGCTCGGGCGTTGACCGCACCGCGTACAATCGCGCCTCCCTCTCGCTTGTCGTACGTCTCTCTCGCTTGTCTCCCAGTAGCTAAAAGTCGACAACTGTACCCTCCCCACTGCGCGCCTCTCATTTGTGTCACACCACGCGGAACGCATCTCCATCGCTTCGGTGAAGGGGGTGAACCGTGCCATCCTCGATCGCCGTGCAAAGCTCGCTTCCGAGCTCTCACGCCGCGCGTAGGGCCCTTAGGGGCCTAGAGAACACAACCCCCTCTCTCTCTCTTTTCTCCCAGTAAGCTATAAGTACGTACGTACCCGGTCCTCGTACGTTATTCGAGCACCGCCTCGTGCGTCGGTTCAGGGGCAGCGTGGCGAGCGACCTGCTTTCCAGCTGTCCCTCCCCTCCCTCACCTCCACCGCCGTCACCGCCACCCCCCTTGCCGCCACTACCGAGCCCTCCGTCTCCCTGCATTCCCCCCTGCCTGCATCGCCCCTCCCACGCCCTTCCAACGCTCGCTCACACAGACGCGTGCGCTACGAAACGCGCCATCCATTGTTGATATCTTTTTCCCCGGAGGCGAGTGCGTGGGGAAGTGGGCCCGCATGTCGGAGCGGGCGCGGGGCACACGGCTCACGGCACACGGGAGAGAGGGAGAGGGAGGTAGCGCGGCGAAAGAGCGGCCGCGAGAGCAGAGCGCAGAGGCGCAATCAGCGATCAGGAGCGGCAGCATAACATCGCCGGGAAATACTAATCAACAAAAAGAACCCCCGCCTCACAGACCGCTCAGACTAAATGGTCGTGTGCTGCTCCACGGTGAGTGTGGGGCAGCTGTGCGGCGGATGGTGCGAGCAAACTATTGAGCAGAGGAGAGGCACGGGCACGCGAGAGACCCGAGCCAAAACCGAAGCCACCAAAGGCCTTGGGGGCCGGGCTGCGCCGCTCGCCGTGCTGCGTCAGTGCACTACAAAATCGTCCCACCAGACGGTGCCCGGGTCCGAGTTGAAGACGTGCAGCGTGCGCCCCTCGAGCGCCTCGTCCGAGACAAACCGCACCTGGTGGGAGGGAGGCGGGCGGGGGGGGCGGGATACAGTAGGGCGGGGGAGGGGGAGGAGGAGGAGGGGGGGGGGGGGGGGGCGCACGTTGGAGGCGACGAGCTTGTCGTCGAGCGAGAGGTCGGCTGAGCGAGCCTGGTGGTGGCGGCGGCGGCGGCGGGTGTGTGTGTGTTTGGGCGGCCGAGAGCGGGCTGGGGAGGGCGGGGGCCGGGGGCGCCTTCCAGTCCAGCGCGATGTCGACGTGCAGCCACCTCTTGACCGAGTAGTTTCCGCCCATGAAGTAGCCGTGCGTCGAGAGGAGGCCCGCCTGGCCGCTCGGCCGGAGGTGGAAGAAGACGACCGACTGCGCGAGCGACTTGCCCCCGAGGGCGAGGTAGCCGACGTTGCCCGCGACCGAGGTGCGCAGCCAAAAGGAGATCCCGCGCGGCTCGCCTGATGTGACATAGCACTACATCATGTCACATGAGACAACAGATGCCGCGCGTGTGTGTGGAGCAGTGCGGCAGTGCGGCAGGTGCGCACCCGAGGCGCCGGGCAGCGAGGCGGAGAGGCCGTCGAACTGGCCGCCTGAGGACCAGAGGAGGGGGAGGGGGCTGCAGAGGGGGAAAGGGGGGCCGGAGGGGCGGGCCGCCGCACCGCTCCCTCCCGCGATCCGGAGGGAGTGCTTGCCGGAGTGGGGCGACGCGGTGTTGACCGACACGTTGTACGCCTCCGGGTCGCTGCCCTCGGCGTACCAGCGCAACTCCCCGACCTGAAGGGGCGAGAGGGGGGAAGGGGCAGAGCTAGGACGGCGCGGGCGGAGAGGCAGCCGCTCCAGCCCCGCCCAGGCCCGTGCGGGGCGGTCGCGTGGGTGCGGCCGACCCCTCTCTCACCCCGCTCTTCTCCCCGTCCCCGGCCCGCAGGGGTCGGCTGCCGCACCTCGAACCCGTCGACAAAGCAGCCCGGCACTTTGAGCGGCGGAGAGGAGCTGTCGGCGGCGAGCGAGAGGCCGGGCGGCGCGACGAGGGCGAGCCCCTCCGGCTTGATCCGCACGCGCACCTCCGCAAAGGGGGGGGGAGGGGGGGCAGGCGCTCATCAGCTGCAGCTCCTTGATTCCCGGGGGCGAGGGTGGCAAATCCGCTCCTCCCCGCGGTCACACTAACTAGCTGCGGAATGACATGGCGCGCCTCCGCGAGGTAGAGGTCCACGTCCCGCGCTGGCCCGGGGCCGTGCGTCGCGTTCCCGTGCCGCAGCGTCAGGCTCCTGCCCGCCTCGTCCCACGCGCCGAGCAGCCTACAGGAAAGGTCCGGGAACCCTCCTGCAAGGCTCCTCGACGCCCGCCTCGTCCGCACGTGCTTCGCAGCCCGCTGCTGTCGAGCACCGGAGGCGAAAAGTCGAGAAGCCTCTCGACCGCGGCGGCGGAGAGCGACCCCTCCACCGCCAGCGGACGGTTGGTCGGCTCGTCAAACTGCAGCACCAGCGCGTCGCCTGAACTCGACAAGTTCAGCGCCTCAGTCACTCCACCCGATCGCCTCTCCGGCGGGAGCGGCGCGAGCGCGTCGCCGATGCCGAACGCGCAGTCCCCGTCGTCGAGTGCGCTAAGCGCGACCGGCTGCGGCGCCGGCTGGAGTGCCTACCAGCAACCCACACCCCTCCCTCCTCCGGATCTCGGCAGGGGTAGAGGTGTCCTTCGGCCGGCGGGAGCCGCGGCGGCCGAGGGCGGCGAGGAGCCGCCGGGCGCGTGCGCGACGAGCCACAGGAAGTGGGGCTGCGACGCGTTGAGGCCGAGCACGGTGCACTCGAGCCGCTCCCCCCTGCACGCCACCTCCGCCTCTGCCGCCGCGGGCTCGCCCGCGGCCGCCGGCGGCTCGCGCGAGACGAAGAGCGAGTACGAGACGACGGGAGAGCCGTGTGCGGCGGGAGGGCGCCACGAGGCGTGCAGCGCGTTGGAGCTCCCGCTGCTCCCCGCCGGCGCGAGCGCGAGCGTCGGGGGCTCGGGCTGGTCTGGCGCGCAGCAAAACGCGAGCCGCGACCACGCGCTGCCGTCGCAGCCGATGAAGGCGCCGCTCTCCTCGTCGAAGCGGAGCATGCCTCGCTCCGAGGACGAGCAGAGGCCGTGCGAGCCAGCCGCCGCGGCCCACCCGTCGCGCCACACGGAGTAGTCGTCGGACGGGTCCGAGGGCTGCTGTTGCTGCAGCGTCCACCAGAGCCCGGCCTGCAGCAGCAGCACGAGCCACCAGGGAAGCGAGGCGCACGCCAGGCTGGGCTCGTAGAGCAGGGCGGGAGCAGCATGGCGGGCGCGGCTCGCCGCACCGCTGCCTGCCGCTCTCGCGGTTGACGGCTCCGCACCGGCGCTCGTCTCGCACGGCGACGCGCGGCACGGCGCCTTGGGAGAGCTGCTGAGCTCCGCCGAGGCCTGAACCGGAGCGCCGCGCCACGCAGGCCCTTCCTCGGAGAGCCGAGCGTAACCAGCTTGCCCTGCCATCGCCGGGCAGCCTTGGTGGTGGTTGAAGAAACTACTTGCCCCCCCTCCCCACGCCGTGGTTTCTTAGCTCCGGCCGGCACTCACCAGAGCCGGCCCGAAGGATTTTTAGGTAAGAGGTAAGTAAGCTGCGGTCCGCGAGGGCGATGCCAGAGTCTTCTGCCGCCGAGTCGGCTCTCTGGATGACGGGAAGAAAGACGCACACACGCCTCCATCCACTCCACTCAGAACACCGCAGACTTGGAAAGTGACAAGTGCGCTGCCGCAGGCGAAGAGAAATTTTGAGCTGCGCTCCCGTTCACACTCGTGTCTGGCCTTTTCTCGGGGCCGCGCCTGCGGCGCGGCGTGGTAGGTAGGTAGGTGTTACCTCGGATGCATCGTGACATCTGACAACTGAATTTCCACTGGTTCGTCCTCCTCGGAGTCATCTTCCCCGTCCTCCTTCCGTTCGGCTCTTCGCTCGGTACGTTCGGTGTGGCTCACCCTCCATGCCGTGAACAGGCGCTTTATCCACCCTATATTCTTCTCTCGTTCCTCTGCCCGTGCCTTGGTCTTGTCGTTGTTTCGCACCCATGTCTGTATGGCAATCGAGGCTGCCTTCCCCACTACCTGTAGTTCACTCGTCACCTCTCCCGCGAGCTCCCTTCTCTTTCTTTCGGGTATGGAGTCCGTGAGTGCGGGTAGCGTGCAGGCAATCACGGGCGCTATTTTGTCGTACTCCTCTTCGGCGAGCGCTCCAAATCTAGACCCTTTCGCCTTTAAGGAGGCTGCCCTCGCTCGTCTCAGGAATGTGGCGGTGTCTTTTGAGTCCGGCGCCTCCCGTTCAACTCTTGCTGTCGCCCTCGCTGTGTGTTTGTCGAGCTTCCGCCCAAGGGAGGGATGGGAGGACGCGCTAAAATTCTTTTTCACGGGCCCGTTTTCCACAGCGTTCGGCGCGACCCGAGATGTGGAGTGCATGCGGCGGTGGCGAGGAGCCCCCGCAGCACCTGATCGACATCCCGCCTTCGTACGACCCGCAGTGCGAGCGGCTTATACGTCCGCGGCCGCGCGCCGAGGGATCGCTCCGCTGCGTGGTCCGGCTCCAGCCTCGAGAGAAAGACGTGCTCATGCACGTCGAGGACGGCAATGTGCGCCCACCACCGCGGCCCACACCGCGTGGCTGCTCGCGAAGCCACTGCTGCCGCCGCCGACCGCAGGTCCTGCTGCTCGTCGCTCGGAAGGAGGGCAAGCACTGGCGGATAGGCGAGCGAGACAGTCCCGCCTCGCCCTCCTCCCGCCTCCGGCCGACGCTCCCTCCTCCCGTGTCGGCCGCAGGAGCCGACCGTGCCTTTGCTTCGGCGAGCGCACTTGTGCAGCTGACGACGTGTGGCGGAGGCGCCTACTCCGTCGAGAGGGTCCGCTCCTCGAGCAGGCCAGAGGCCACAGCCCAGCCACAGAGCCTCGCCACACACAGCCCGGCCCAACAGAGCCGCCGGCGAGGCAGTCCCGGCGCAGCCGCCGCTGAGCTCCGCGCCCGCCTCGTCGCAGTCGCGCCTCGTGGGAGTCGCTCAGCTGCTCGCACGAGACGCGCGCCCTCTCGCAGGACCTGCCCGAGGCGCCGGCCCACAGTAGGAAGTGTCTAGGAAGTGTCCTGGACCTGCCCGAGGCGCTACCCCACGCCCCGCGAGAGGGAGGCGGGAGAGCGCCGCCCTCTCCAAGCCGCCTCCTTCGCGCGTCTGGCCCCGCCGCAGGTCAACACGATGGCTGCGCTGCTCCCCTTGGACGAGTCGGCCGAGGCGCGGGACGGCAGCGGGCGCGAGTGGCTGCCAGGGGAGGCCGAGTGCGCTGCTGCGCCAGAGAGGCAAGCCCTCGCGGAGGAGGGGCGGTCCGCCCTCCGCCAGAGAGACGACGCCCGCCGCCGCGGCTCTGTAGGCCGCCGGGCGAGCTGCGATCGCAGCTGCACGACGCGCTCGTCGGCCAGCCGACGCCAGGAGCCACTTTGCTGATGACGAAGCTGCCTCGGTGCCGGCCAGCCCCGCCCCGCTCGCGCTCTGCCGCGTCCTCCTCGGACGGCCGCCTCGCCGCCGCCCGCAGATGGAACCCCTCAACGGACGCTTTCGAGCTGCCCTTCCACGGGCGCGCCAACCTGGCCTCCGAGCGCAACTTCCAGCTGGTCACCGCACTGCGAGGCAAGGTTGCCGCGGACGCGCCCATCGTGCTGCTGCACGGAAAGTTGGACGAGGCGACGTACTCGCTCGACTTTCGCTACCCGCTCTCGCCCTTGCACGCCTTTGCCCTCGCGCTTGTCACTTGGGGCTGGTGACGTCTCGGAATCTCGCTTGAGCGGCGGGCGGGACCCGCCGCGTCGCGCGTGCGGCGTGGAGTCCCGCGGCGCGCGAGAGCGGCGAGAGGCGCCTGCGTCTTTTTTCGAATGCGTAACACTTTTTTGTTTTTGGCTCCTAATCTCGGCTCAACATGCCATATGGACAGAGGTGAGAGAGGAGAGCTGGTCTCAGAGCCCGTTCCCACATCCCACCGGGAGACACACGAGACGCACCAAATGCGCGTGCATGTCATGCATTGAGCCCGCCATGGCGTGGGTGCCCCCCCACGGCACGTGCGTAAGTGTGGGGTTGATCAGTGTGGGCGCCCCGGACACACGCCGGCACGAGCGACAAGCGACACACGCAATCGCCCACACACTCCAACGGCTATTCATTCGACGTACCCGGGCGGCGGTCGACGGGTGCGCGCCTGTCCGATGTGGATACCCGCCCCCTCATGCCGACTCGAGCGAGGTCGTGGAAGCCTGTCTAGCGGCGCCAGACCTTGTGTGTGCCACGGGGGGGCGTCCGCCCGTCGCGGCTCACGGCGGCAACGGCCAGACTCCGACGAGCGCCGCCGCCGCCGGCCGGCCCGCGGGGCGGGCGAGGTCGAGGGCAACGAGCACCTCCCGCCCCTCGAGCTTTTGGAGCGCCTGGCCGGCGGCGCGCGCGGTGCAGCGCGGCGGCGGCGTGTCGGCCGCGCCGGCCTCGTCCGCCCCGCTCCTCACGACGGCCGCCCAGAGCGCGCCGCCGCGACCCTTGGCGTCCGCGTCGGCCAGCGCAAAGGCGACCGGGACGGGCTGCGCGGCGAGAGGCGACTCGAGACGTGCCACGCCGAGGAGGGCTTGTGGCGGGGCTTGTGGCGGGTGCTGCCCCCTCGGCGAGAGGCTCGCCTATCGAGCGGTTCGTACAACGAGCATGGAGTGATGCTGCACAGGAGGGGGGCCCCTCCCCCGCTCGGTGAGAAAGGCTCGCCGCCGCCACGGAGGCGCGCAGCACGACGTACGCCTCCTCGCCGCCGTGCAGCTCCTCCAGGCAGCGAGCTACGTCGCGGATCGGAACGAGCGGCCGCTGCAGCCGCCAGTCGCACCGCACCGCGTCGCCAGCTGCGCCGGCCGCCTCCCCGCCCGCTCTCTTGAGCAGTGCCTGCACTGGGGGGAGCCCGCCGAAGATGGCGCCGACGTCGCCGCCCGTGGCCGGCGGCGGCGGCGCCGCCATCCACGCGCCGGCCTGCCGCGCCGCCGCGTCGCGCTTGCCGCGCTGCTGCTGCGAGCGGGCGTCTTTGCCGATCTCTCCGAGCAGCGCGAGCCGCAGCGGCTCCTCGCGGTACTCGGCGAGCAACTCCGCCGCCCGCAAGGCGAGCGACCACCGGCTCGTCGCCAGGAAGCCGCCGAGATCGCCTCCGGCGGCGCAGACACGCAGCCGGCGGACCATCACGTCGTCGCCTGGCGCGACGCCGTCGAAGAAGCCGCTCGCGCCGGCCGGCCCGCCGCAGTGGTGCTCGAGGAGGAGGAGAGGGAGCTGAGCAGCGCCTCCGCCGCCGCTGTCGGCGACGAGGACCTGCAGCCAGCGCGCGCGCACGAAGCGGACGAACGCGCGGTCCCCGTTGGGCCGCCGCCGGAAGCGGAAGGGCGGCAGCGAAGCGACGACGCGCCCGATCACGTCGGCCAGCTCCTCCGCCTCTCCGAGGTACTGCTGCGCCGCGTGCACGACCGCCAGCTTGCGCCGCACGCCGCTCGCATCGGAGAGGGGCGGGCGGCGCGGCGGCAGCAATCGGCCGGGCAGGAGGGAGTCGAGCTGCTGCACCTGCGCCTCGGTGAGGACGTCGACCCTGCCGGGGACCTTCGGGTGCTTCGCCGGGTTGAGCTTGGCGACGAACCGCTTCCCTCCCTCGTCCCCGGCCACCTAGCCAACAGCGATGCGCCATTACCAACCGTCGTAGTCTAACCGCACGTCTCCCTCGTCGCCGCCAACCTCGCGCAGCGCGTAGTCGCGCACCATCAGCACGGCGCCCGGCCTGCGGCGCGTGGGCAGGCGCGGCTCACCCCAGCCGGCGGCGGCAGGCGCGGCAGCCGTGTGGCGCGCAATGGTCGCCTGGTGGCCGCGTAGAGGCGCTCGCAGCGTGAGTTCCACACCTCGACCGCCATCTCGCCTAAGTAATGACACCAAGTAGATGACGGTGATTCCTTAGTTCCACACCTCGACCGCCATCTCGCCGGAAGCGTCGGCGAGGGTGAGCTCAAAGCACGTCGCGAAGCTCTGCGCCCCCTTTTCGTGCGGGCCGCCCCAGTGGCTGAGGGAGCTCTTGCCGACCACCCGCCCGACCATCACACGCGACGCGAGCAGCCGCTGCGGCGGGCGACCCGCCGGCCGCCGCTCGGCGGCGTCGCGCTGCTGCTGCATCCGCGCGATCTCGTTGACGGTGCCGAACCGCACCCGCTCCGCGCCATCCCTTGCGACCGCGTCAATCTCTGCCTGGCTGCTGAGCGCCTAAGTAATAGTAACATTTCTGATTATCAACTAATAGCAAGTGCCCATCTCTGCTTGGCTGCTGAGCGCCCCGCCACCGCCCCCGCCGCCGCCGCCGTCGTCGTTCTCTGGTGCGGCGCGCGCGGCCCAGCGGCGAGTGAGCTCCACCTCGTCGGAGCGGAGCTTGAGGTAGTGCCTCCGGCGCCCCGCCAGGGGAAGCGGCTCGCGGTGTGGCCTCGCGAGCGGCGCCGCTCCCGCCGCCGGCTCTGCGACTGCAAAGGTGAGTCCGTCCCTCTCGGAGGCGACGTAGTAGTCGTCGAGGACGAGGGAGGAGGCGGCGGCGGGGGCGGCGGAGGAGGAGCCGGCGGCGGCGGGCGCTGCCACCGGCTCCAGCTGCGTCACGACGATCAGATCCGGCGCCGAGGCGGAGAGGGCGCGCTCGTCGGCCCTCGCCTCCCAGCCGCGGACGGTGACGACGCCGCGCGGCTCGAGCCGGCCCGAGTAGACGAGCTCGTTGAGCGCGGTCGAGAGCACCACCTTGAGGATGTGAGCGCCGTCCGAGAGCACGACGTCGAACGCGTCGCCGCACGCGGAGGTGACCTGCACGCCCGTCTCCGCGTGCCAAGTGGGGTCGAGCATGAACCGGTGCAGCGAGATCACCTGCAGGTTGGGCGGCTCCGAGCGCTCGGCAAGCGCGTCGCGGAGCGTGTCGACGCCTCCGGCGGTAATCGGCGGCGCCGCGGCGGCGGCCTGAGCCCGCTGCCGCCGCGGCTGCCGCTGCTGCTGCTGCTGCTGCTGCTGCTGCGGCTGCGCGCGCCGCGACGTGCGCTGCGAGCGCTGCAACCGCGACACATGCTCGCGCGCAGCCGACCTCTCGTCCTGCGGAGGATTCTGGCGAGAGCGCAGCCAGCGCTCGGACGAGGGCTCGAGCTGACGCTTGCTTGCGGGCTTCTCGACCATTGTTACCGGCCGGGCGAAAAATAAAAAATTCCTCGTGAGTGCGAGGCTACCAACTGCATTCCAAGTGCTCCAAGCGCAGTCCTGGGGAGATGTTCTCTGTTTATTTCTCACACAGTCCCGGTCTGCAGCATGAGAGATGAGTGCAACCACATAACCACGGTACGACGGCACACGGTAGAGACGCGCAAGTAGGTACGAGGGGCGCAACATGGGTCATGGCGCATGCTCAGCGCGCACACGGCCACTGTGAAGAGACCCACTCGCGAACGTAGAATCTCCCCCCTAACAGTATGTTGAAACCAGTCATGCATGCTCCCCCATGCATGTGCATATGTGCATGCGCATGCGCATGTGCACGTAATGCGGAGTGCCCCGCACCCCCGCCCGCGGAGCGCCGCTATTCGCCGGGCGGCGAGATCTCGCACTGCCCATCCAGCATGTCGAGGGACACCGTCGCGCGCATCGCCACCGGCCGCGCCAGCGGCTTGCGCACCGGCGCCGCCTGCCGCTGCCGGCCTGGCGACCCTGGCGACGCGGGCGCGCCTCCCCGGAGCAGGTGGCGCCACGACAGAAAGGCGGAGCCTCCGTGCACCGTCCTGGCCTCCTCCGAGGCCCGCCTCGTCGGCGCCGGCGGACTCGCCGGGTTGGCCGACGCCCTCCGCACCGCCGCGCAGAGGGTGCCCCCGTGCGTGCTGATGCCTCGCTCGTCCTCGCCCGGCACCTCCTTGCCGCGCCGCAGCCCGGCGAGCAGGCTCGAGACGGTGCGGCCCGCCCACCGGCCGGCGGAAGGGTCGACGGCCGAGTCGCTCACCACGATGCAGCGCGCCGGGTTCTCCCGCTCGTCGCCGCGGTGCCACTGCGCCATGTACGCGTGCGGCGCGCCGGGCAGCTCCCCGCGCGGTCGGCGCTGCAGCCGCACGAAGCCGCCCGCCCAACCCGCGACGCCGGTGGTGGAATCGGCGGGGGGCGCGCCGCCGAGCAGCGCCGGCCTCGCGATTGGCCGGCAGAGCGCGAGTTTCAGCTCTGCGGCGGCCGCCTCGGTCAGCCCCTCGTCCTTGTCCGTCGTTACACAGTGGCCAAGGAGCTCGCCGCCTCCCACCTCGTCGAGGAGGGGGCGGTCGTCCACGGCCGCGAAGAAGAGCACCCGCGGCTGAGCGTGCGCGTCCGCGGCGGCGTTGTAGGCCCGCAGCCAGTCCGTGATCTCGAGAGGCCGGTGAGGATCCCACGGGCGGCGCGAGGGCGTGACGCCAATCACGTCGAGCCCCTCCAGCCGCAGCGTCCGCACGAGGAGCTGCAGCTGAACCGGCACCAGCCGCCAGTGCGAAGACACCACGACCGCCGCGTGAGTAGATTCACAGACCGCGACGAGGCGCTTGAGCTTAGTTGACTCAATCTTGCCGGGCGTTCTCGCCGAGATGACGCCATCGACGTCGAGGAAGAGCACGCGCAGCCCACAAGAGGAGCAGGCGGCAGTCATTCCGAATAATACAACGGCGACACCTGCAATTACCTGCCGATGCAGGCCGATGCGAGGTCGGCGTGCCGAAAAAAGAATTTGAAGAAATCTTGCACATTCCCAAGAGATCGGCAGACGACAGCGGCGTCTCAGAACGAGGCCGAGGAGAGCGATGAGTCAGGGGAAGAGACAGCAGGAGAGAGAACGACGAGAGTGTGGGAAGAATGCGAGGTGGCATGAAGGTCGCTGCAAGAATTGGTGATAAACTGCGGAGAGAGATAGGAAGTGGTAGACGCCCGAGGGTGGGCGACGGCTAACACCACACTTCTCCCCTAAAATCCCTGTGTGGTGGCGGCGTACCGTCCTCCCATCCCTCCCTTGGATTGTCTGTTTTCTTTCTTTCTTTGCACATTCCCGGAGGAGGACTTTTTTGGTATCGGACCCTTTGTGGTGGCGGCGTACCGTCCTCCCATCCCTCCCTTGTGTTGTCTGTTTTCTTTCTTTCTTTGCACATTCCCGGAGGAGGACTTTTTTGGTATCGGACCCTTTGTGGTGGCGGCGTGCCGTCCTCCCATCCCTCCCTTGGGTTGTCTGTTTTCTTTCTTTCTTTGCACATTCCCGGAGGAGGACTTTTTTGGTATCGGACCCTTTGTGGTGGCGGCGTGCCGTCCTCCCATCCCTCCCTTGGGCTGTCTGTTTTCTTTCTTTCTTTTTTTTGCCTCTAGTGACAGAACCCGTGCCCAGTTTCGTGCGCGACTGCGAAGAGAGATAGGAAGAGGCAGAGACGCCCAAGGGTGTGGGCGACGGCTAGCACCACACTCCTCGCCTTAAACGATCCCAGTGTGGTGGCGGCGAGCGGCGTAAAAAGGGACACCTCTAACTGAGCCCTGGCTGTCAGGCTGTCAGGTGCTGTCAGGTGATCTGTCGGGCTGTCGGGCAGCTGTCAGGCACTGTCAGGTGCCTCTGTCAGACCAGCTGTCAGGTGCTGTCAGTGCTGTCGGGTGCTGTCGGGTGTCTGACAGGCGAGGTGCTCTGTAGCTGTCGGGTGCTGTCGGAGCTGTCGGGTGTTGCTGTCAGACGCTGTCGGAGCTGTCAGAGCTGTCAGGCTGCTGCTGCTGTCAGACGTTGGGCTGTTGCCCTGTCAGGTGCTGTCGGGTGGTCCGCTGTCGGGGTGCTGTCAGAGCCTGAACACACCAGCCACACTTATGACACTATCAAGAGGAGCCGGGCGGTGGCGGGGGCGCTGACGCCGATGACGCCGGCGGCGGCTACCCAGCTGCCCCCCTCCTACGGCGTGATCACGGCGGCGGCGGCCGCCGCCTGGGGAGCGCAGATGGCGGCGCAGGCGCAGGCGGCGGCGGCGGCACAGACGGCGGCGGCCACCCCCCCACCCAGACGCCCTAGGCATATGACTGTAGGGCCCCAGAAGGCTAGCTGTGGTAGCTTCATTTGTAGTAGCACAGCCGCCGGTGCTAGAGAGGGGTCCGCAGAGCGGTGGGGAGGGAGGGTTGAGAGAGAGACCCATGACCATCCCATGACTACATGGACCACACTCACATGTCTTTGCATGTAATAGTTTTGTTATACCCTCATGGGGCACCACAAGAAAGAGGCTCTACGCCGTAGACTACGGCGTACGGGGTCTGACTGTGAGACGGTCTGTGCTGCTGTCGGGCTGTCAGAGCTGCTGTCAGGCCACTGTGTGCTGTCGGGCTGTCAGGCAGCTGTCAGGCTGTCACGTTAGGGCCTGACAGCGACGGAGCACCTCGCCTGTCAGACTCTGCTGTCAGGCTGTCAGATACGTGCTGTCTGACTGTCAGAGAAAGTGCTGTCAGCGCTGTCAGGCTGTCGGGCACTGTGCAGGCGCTGTCCGGGGCTTGCTGTCAGGCTGTCAGACCAGGGCTCAGCACCTCTAATACCTCTCTACTGTGAGATGGGTAAAAAGGAACAGCTCAGGTCCCCGCCCGTGCGATCTTTGTGCAGGGTTCTTTGTGGGTGTGGTCGGCGACTAGCCGGGGTCGTCCTCCCGATGGGGGACTAGCACTCTAGCCGTCTTCCACATTGTCCCTCGGGTCCCTGCTGCTCCTAATCTTTTCGTACATCCTCCTGCTGATCTCCGCAAAGTCCTGCTCCCTCCCTCGTCTCGCCCTGCGCGTCTGCTCCGCCTCCACATCGTCTGCCCTGCGTCGTCTGGCGACGGGTCCTCCATAGTCGGTCGAGGTCGCCGCCCTCCTCGTGCCTCTTCCCAACGTTCCCTCGGCGGCCGATGCCGTCTGCTCCGGCCCCCCAGTCCCCCCGGGTCTGCCCTGCTCTCGTCTGCGCTAGTTTCTGCTTCGTCATCACCGGAGTCCCTCCTCTTCTTTCTCCTCTTCTTGGCGTGCCGTCCTCCATCCCATACTTAGGGTTGCCTAACGTTAATTTGGGGCCTAACAGTTGCGCTATTGTTGGCTGAAATCCTCACCGTTGCTTAAGTGTTCATCCCAGCCCATGCTGTTACTGTTACTGTTTGTTACTGTTGTTACTGTTGTTCAGTGGTCAGCAAGCAGAAAATGGCAAAAACCCCGGGTAAAACCCGAAAAACCTGGGGTTTTCCGGGTATTTTCGGGTATTACCCGCACTGGACACTAGAGATCGTCGTGGGTCACACTGCCAGGCCTTCCTTACTGTTGTTCAGTCGGCCTAACGTTAGCTACTGTTGTTGGGGAGCCCCACTGTTGTTTTCTGTTGTTCGGTTACTGTGAACACTATAGCAACACTGTATCACTGATCACTCGTGTTCAGCTCCTCATTCCTAACGTTAGCGGTTAGGCAACCCTACCATCCCAATCCTTTGGTTGTCTGCTTTCTTTCTTTTTCGTGCGCGAAAAAGACGAAAACGAATTTTCTCACCGCCCCTCTCCGCTCCCACCACACTAGGCACGTCACGTGCACGTCAGACCGCAAGGTTGCTCGCCCGGCAGCCTGCCCTGCCGTCACAACCCTGGTCCCCAGCCCCGGCGGTGGCGGGGAGGTTGAGGGGAGCCACCTCCTCCTGCCTCCTCCTCCGGGGCTCTGACGGCACGCTGCGGAGGATGGGGAGGAGGAGGCACATGCCGAGGGTGTGGAAGGCGAGCGGCCAGAGAAAGGTGCGCTCATAGCCGACGGCGTCGATCAGAGCGCCGCCGATGAAGGCGGAGCCCGACCAGGTTGTCTTGGAGAGCGACTGCAGCGTGGCCCACTTGCCGCGGTGCTCGCTCGAGATGTGGTCGTTGAGCACCGCGCCCGTGATCCCGCCGATCGAGTTCATGAAGGCGCCGCGCACGCCAATCGCGATGGCGATGGCTGGCGTCGGCACAGGCAAATCGGCCGAGAGGCAGACGAGGGCGAGGGCGGCGTTGGCGACGAGCATGAAGAGGAAGGCGGCGCCGATCGGGCCGGTGGTGCGGGCGAGGCGGCGGATGAGCAGGTTGAGGGCTGTGGCGGTGAGCTGCATCAGCGCGATGATGGCGTGCGTGGCGATGGGTGTCAGCTCGAGCGACTGCATGCAGTACAGCGGCAGGAACTTGTACGCGATGCCCGACCCGAACCCGAGCGAGAGGCTCGACGCCGCCAGAAAGGGCGCGACGCGCCGCGACGCGCACAAGCCGCCAACTCGAGCCCCGCCGCAGCCGTCCTCGCCGCCACCGATGCCGCTAGCACGGGCAGCGGCGCTTGGGGGCGCGCTCGCCGGCGGCGGCGGCGGCGGCTGCTGCGGCTGCGGCTGCGGCTGCTGCGGCTGCGGCGGCGGCGGCGGCGGCGGCGGCGGCGGCGGCGGCGGCGGCGGCGGTCGCTGCCTGCCCGAGGCCGTGCCGTCTGAGACTGAGCCCTGGTCGAGGAGTCGCGCGGCAGGGCCGTCGGCAGGTCGCTCGCGCGGAGGCCTCGGCACGTCGCGGAAGAAGAGGCAGACGACGCCCTGCGCGACGGCGATGGCGGCGCCGGCGACGATGACCGAGACGAGCTCGGGCCGGGTCCACGTGTCGTGCGAGAGGGCGAAGCAGGCGACCGCGATGAGCGGCCCGACGGAGAGGCCAGCCGTCGCCGACATCTGCTTGTAGACGTAGAAGGACGTCCGCCGCGCCTGCGGCGTCGAGTCGCCAAAGATGGCCTCCAGCGCGACGAAATACGAGCCCTTGACGGCGCCAAAGAGCGTCGAGGCCGCGCACAGCGCGACAAAGACGGTCTGCGGGCCCGACCTCGAAGGTAGGTACAGCACCGCGAGGCAAGTGACCGACGCCTGCAAGACGCAGGCGGCGGCCGCGAGCCGAAGCACGGGGCTGCGGCCGCAGCGGTCGGTTGCGACCCCGGCGGCGAAGGAGGTGAGCAGATTGACGACGCCGCTCATCCCCTCCATCAGCCCTACGTTGGTGGCTGTGCCCACGCCCTCGGGCAGCAGCAGCACGTAGGCGTCACGCGCGATGCCGATGGAGCCCGCGGTGGTGGAGAGGAAGTTGGAGAGCAGGCCGAGCGGGACGTTACGGTGAGGCCACATCGGCGATGGCGGCTGCGACGGCGCAAAGCGCAAGGGGTGGGGGGGCGGTCGAGCGCGGCATGGGGGGGAGCGCAAATTCTTTTTTGCTCAAAGTACAAGAGTCTAGTCTAGTTCTTTAAAGAAAGAAAGAAAAGGAACCCAGGGAGGGATGGGAGACGGCACGCCGCCACCACACAGCACCTCTCTACCTCTGAAAGAAAGAAAGAAAGAAAACAGACAACCCAAGGGAGGGATGGGAGGACGGCACGCCGCCACCACACAGAGGGGTGTGATGCGCTAGCCGTCGCCCACCCTTGGTCGTCCGCCTCTTCCTATCTCTCTTCGCAGTCTCTCGCCGATTCTCGCTGCAACCTTCATGCCACCTCGCGGTCGTCCCACTCTCGTCGTTCTCTCCCTTGTCATTTCCTCCTCTGTCGCGTCGTTCTCTTCTGCCTCGTTCTGCGACGACGCCGCCGCCTGCCGCCCCTTGCTCTCGCTGCTTCTCTCGCCTTTCGTCGCAGCTCTGTAAGACAAAAAAAACAACAGCTCTGCCATTCTGGCGGCATATTTTGGCCCCTCGAGTCTATCGAGCTCTCCTCGCGCAAGGACGACTCTTCTGACGCCCACTGCGATCATTTGCCGCCAAGTCATATCGTTGCTCAGGTCCACTCTCTCTTCGAACACTTGTACCTCCACGGATGATGCTGGCGCTGGGTTCCCCTTCGGGTGCATCGTGACAGCTGACAACGAGATTACCACTGGTGTGTCGTCCTCCTCGGAGTCTTCTTCCCCGGTTTCCTCCCGTTCGGCTCTACGTTCAGTACGTTCAGCGTGGCTCACCTTCCATGCCGTGAACAGGTTCTTTATCCACCCTATATTCTTCTCTCTCTCCTCCGCCCGTGCCTTGGTCTTGTCGTTGTTTCGCACCCATGTCTGTAAGGCGATCGAGGCTGCCTTCCCCACTACCTGCAGTTCTCTCGTCACCTCTCCTGCAAGCTCGCCCCTCTTTCTCTCGGGTATGGAGTCCGTGAGTGCGGGCAGCGTGCAGGCAATCACGGGCGCTATTTTGTCGTACTCCTCTTCGGTGAGCGCCCCAAATCTAGACCCCACATTGCCTCTTTAAGGACAAAGGAGCTGCCCTCGCGCGTCTCAGGAATGCGGCTGTGTCTTTTGAGTCAGGCGCCGCCCGTTCGACTCTTGCTGTCGCCCTGAGGCCGTGTGTTTGTCAAGCTTCCGCATGAAGTAACGCGCCTCTTCCTTATTTCCAGCGCAGCTGCCGCTCAGTTTGTGCGCCAACGACGCCTGTGGTGGCTCACTGTCTTCTTGTGTCCAAGTCGTCGCAGTCTATCCGTTCTCCATTTCTCCTCCTTGCCTCGCGCGCCTTTTTTGCGGCCTCATCCCTCCACTGTAGCCGCCTTGCACGCTCTGCATCCCCAAAACGCACTCCTCGAGTCGTGGCGGCGCGCCTCATTCCCCGTCTCTTTTCCCCTTCTAGAATGCGCCTTGGCTCCCAGGATCGTTTTGGTCGTCACATTGTGAGGATGTAGAGTGACGTAGAGCGCTGTAGAGCTGTAGAGCTGTAGAGCGCTCTGGAGCGCTGTAGAGCTGCAGAGCTCTACATCCGCCGCGGGACAGAGCGATGCAGATGTAGAGCGATGTAGAGGCCCTCTACAACGTGAAATCTCTACAACAAACTCTACATCATTTGTGTCACACCACGCGGAACGCATCTCCATCGCTTCGGTGAAGGGGGTGAACCGTGCCATCCTCGATCGCCGTGCAAAGCTCGCTTCCGAGCTCTCACGCCGCGCGTAGGGCCCTTAGGGGCCTAGAGAACACAACCCCCTCTCTCTTTTCTCCCAGTAAGCTAAAAGTACGTACATCATAAGCGGCGAACGAGGCACGGTCGCTCTCCGACATGAGGCGCGTTGCACTTGCCAGTGCTGCCCTGGCCTTCTGTCTGCCCGCCCAATGGGTGGCAGTTGCCTCTGCTGCTGTGGCATGCCTCACGGCTGCGACTGGCCGGCGCCTCGGCGCGTCAGCTCGGCTCGGCGTAGCGATCGTGGCCAGCGCAACTCGCCTGGACTCAACGCTCAGCCAGGAGCTCCCGCACGCGCTGGCGCGAGTCATGGCGCATGCAACGCGTCTGAATGCTCGCCTCGCCTCGCGCAAATGCGACCGTCCTCGCAGCCGACAGTCCACCGCCTGCTAAAGAAGCACTGCGACGAATGCGGCACCGGCGACGCATGGCAGGCTGGTCATGACGCAGTTATAGGGTGTTGTGTGCCGTCAGAGTGACTCTCTGTGTGTCAGGGATAGTCAGGGCCGTCCACCAGAGCTCCAGTAAGCTCGGAGACACCCCATTAGTGCGGCTCGACCTCTTTGAGTCACTGCCTCCCCGGCGGTTTTGCTGTAGAGCCTCTACAACAAACTCTACAGCAAAATCGCGCTCTACATCGCTCTACATCTGCATCGCTCTGTCCCGCGCCGAATGTAGAGCTTTACAGCTCTACAGCGCTCCACAGCGCTCTACATCTCTACAGCTCTACAGCGCTCTACACTCTACATACATCCTCTCACCCTCCCTCAGCGTCAAATGTCGCTCGCCTGTCCTTCCCCCCGTTCTCATCTGCTGGCAATCTCATCTTATTGTCCCATGCGATGGGTGTTTGAGGCTGGCTACGGCCACTTCGCTCCACAGCCGTCCCGCCACCCCTGCCGTGTGTGATCCCGGCCTCACCGTCTTTCGATATTGCTCGCACACCCACTCGTGCGCGCTCTGACACATGTGCCCATACGTCCGTCGGTCCACTATCTCCCTCTTCTCTGTGTCCTCTGCCGCCTCCCTTCGCACCGTGTACATGCATGGCCGAGTTCGCGCACCGCGTCCCGCACCACTTTTGAGGCGTCCTCTGTGTCGTTATTTCCGAGGTATGCTGTCGCCACCGCGTCGGCGTACGCGTTGCAGGCTATTCCCACGTGCGATGGCACCCACACAAAGACCACCGCCTCTAGCTTCGATCTATAGTACGCAATCGCCTCCAGGAGCCCGCCTCTCTCCCAGTCCCTCAGGCCCTCTGGCATCCCCGCGCGGTGCGCTTTTTCAATCTGCTGCAGCGCGGGTTTGCAGTCGCATAGTACTAAGCACCGTCCGATTGCGCATCGCTCGCGCTCGCCATTTTGCGTAGGTATGCGAGATCGCGTACATCTCCGCGTCTAATCACCTCCCACCCACGTGCTCGGCAGCTTTCCTCCCCACATGCCCGCCCCAAAGGCTGTCTGTATCTCCTCTTCTCCACAGGGTCCGATCCCGTTGGGTTCCACGAGGCTTTCTTCTAAAATTCTTTATCATCCCGCAGTGCGCGCCAGTCCCGTGCCCAGTGTAAAAAGAAAGAAAACACACAAGCCAAGGGAGGGATGGGAGCCCTTGGAGCACTTGGAGTGCAGTCATTAGCCTCACATCCAGAAGAATAAAAATAAAACGGGCACGCCAAACGAGGGGTGGGAGAAGGACAGGGTCCCCACCTGCGCGAGCAGGATCTTGTAAGGACGATCAGGGACACAGGGGAACGGGAGCAGGTCGCGACACATCGATCGGGCAGGGCAATAAATTCTTTATCGTCCCGGTTCCAAGCCATGCGCTTCGCCAGTGGCCTCCTGATCCTTCTCTCCACTCTCCTGGTCCCTCTTCTCGTTCTTCCACTCGCTGTCGTGTTCGCGCCTGTTGCTATCTCGTTTATTGCCACACTCTTCACGCCGTGGATCGCGCTTGGGCTCAGCGGGTCGAGCGATGCTGACTGGCTCCGCTGGCGCAGTTTTCCACTTGTGGTGCCGATGGTTCTGTTCGTCGACCTGCCTCTCGCCCTCTACCTCCTGGTGGCCACGACCATCGTCGATATCCTCTTCCTCCAGCCCCTCGTCCTCCTCGCCTACGAGGCAGCGGTGCTTCTCTTTCGCCGCAAGACGCACCTGCCCTCGGCCGATGACGCCGAGGCCCCGCGTCCCCGGCGCGTGCCCTCGGCCGATGACGCCGAGGCCCCGCGTCCCCGGCGTGTGCCCGCTGCCGCCTCAGAGGGAGACCACGCGCCGGCTGCTAGCGATAAGGGCGCCAAATACCGCGATCATGCCTCGGTCTGGGCGGCGCTGGAAGGCGATGCGAACGTGCGGGCAGGCGACGTGCGGTTACTCAGCCTCAAGTGGCTCATGGCGCTCGCCGACAAGGGCGGCGCGCTGCCGCGTCGGCAGGAGCTACCCGAGGAGGCGTTCGTGACTGCCGAGCAGCTGCGGCGGATCGAGGCGGGCGCGAGGCGCGGCTTCGACACCCGCGAGTACAGCAAACTCTTGCAACGGATGTTTGCCGACTACACATTCTCCACCGAGCTTGAGCTTATGGCGAGCCTGTTCCGCCGGAAGCGGAACGTCGACGAGTTGCTCCCGATCGTCTCCATCTCGTACTGCTGGCTCGAGGCGGCGCACCCAGACCGGGAGGGCCGTCAGCTGCAGCTGCTCTCTCGCAAGCTGCGGAGCCTGTACGGCGGGCGCGGCCTGCTCGGCGCGTGCCGCGACTACGGCTTCTCCGACATGGGCGTGTTCCTCGACTGGGGCTCGGGCTACCAAAAGGACCCGGCGCTGTGGAGGGCGTGGATGTCGCTGCCGGCGCTGTACTCGATGAGCGACGACGAGCTCCGGAGAGTGGACAGCGAGTGGATCGTCGACGAGCGGCACTCGCACGAGGCTTTGGCGGAGGGCGCGGTTTACGCGATGAGCGAGGAGACGCTGCACAGCATGGCGGACGGCGAGAGGCTGGTCGCCGAGCGGCGCGCGTACGAGCAGAGCCGGACCGGGGAGCAGAAGGCCGCGTTCGGTCGCATGCTCCACCACACGATGGACCTGTGGTATGCCCACGCCGCCGTCACCGTCGTGCTGCTCACGCAGCTTCCCGACGAGCTGCCCGCTGGGTTTGACACGACACGGACGCGAGTCGCGCGGCTGGACGACTTTCGAACGCTGCTCTGCCGAGCTCTCGCACCCCTTCAGGCTCTTTTCCGCCGGCTGGAAGCTCGTCATCGACGTCGCCGACGAGGCGGGCGGCGCCAAGATGCGGCTGCCGGCCACGCCCGCGCGGATGGAGGCGCTGCTCGCCAAATGCCGCTTCACCAATGGCGCCGACAAGGGCACGGTGCTGGCGCTGTACGAGCAGACGGCGGCGGCGATCCTCGGCTCGCTCGACAAGCTCAGCGTCGCGGGGCTGCCGCTGGTGCGCGGCGACGTCTGGTGCTCGCCATCGAGGCTCGCCGAGGCGCTCAACTACTGCTCGAGGTCTGCACCCGGCCCCTGCCGCCGTTCGCGGACGCCCCTCCACCCCCGACCGCCCTCCCTCCCCCTCCCGGCCCAGCCTGCGAGCCGTGGCTGTGGTCGGCGCCCGCCTCGACGACGACGGCGTGGCGGAGCTCGTCGCGGGGCTCAAGGACGGCGCGCTCCCGGCGCTTGAGGTCCTGGCACTCGGGCACAACCGCTACGGCGCGCGCGGCGTCGAGGCGGTCTGCGGCGTCTTTCGCCGTGGCGTGGCGCCGCGGCTGCAGAACCTCTCCTTTGCTTTCATGCCTATCGGCGATGCTGGAGCCGCCGCGGTCGCTGCCGCGGTCGCGACGGGCGCAGCGCTGCCGCCGCGCCTCGCGGTGACGATGGTCCTCTGCGACGTGGGCGACGAAGGCGCGCGGAGCATCGCGGCGGCGCTGTCGCTCGCTGGGCCCGGGTGCCGCTTCCAACTGATGTTTAACCGCATCGGCGTCGCCGGCAAATCGGCGGTGAGATGGTAGCGAGAGATGGCAGCCGATGAAGCGAGAGGATCTGCTCAAGCAAAGTGGTTGCTCCACAGGTGCTCGCGGCGCTCGAGGCCAGGCAAGGCTGGGCGGCCTTCTCGCACATGTTTAACCTCATACAGATGAGGTACGCCCCTGGGTCGGCAATGCTGACGCGCGCGATGGGGCGGGGGGGACATATTTCGAGCGAGAGCGGCCGGCTGCTGGCATCATAAAACTCTCAGTGACCCTCACCCAAAAAAGAAATGCGCGGTTAGCCGCGCGCCGCCCAGATGCTCTTGACTGATAAAGAGAACTGCGGGGGCTCGCGGAAGCGACGGCTGGGGGAGGCCGGCGGGGCGTTTGCTTCTTTCGCCAAGGTCTCCGCCGCCGCCGCCGCCGCCGCCGCCGCTGACGACGACCGCATCGAGTCGCCTCCCGCCGCCGCGCCAAAAAGGCACCGGACTTTGGACGGGGCCGACGCGGTGGTGCTGCGCGAGGCGGAGGAGGCGGCGCGTTCCATCCGCTCGCAGGTCGCCGTCGAGCGCAGCCGAGCGCTTGAGGCCGCGGGTAACCTGCGCGAGGCTGCGTCGCGTGTCGCTGAGGGCGAGGCTGCCCGCGCGCGCAGCGAGGCGATGCGGTTGACGACGGAGGCGCAGGAGGAGGCGGAGCAGATCCGCCAGGCGGCGCGCCGCGAGGTGGCCCACCTCTCCTCCGAGGCGGCTCGCCTCCGCGCAGAGGTTGCGGCCGAGCAGCGCCAGCTGACTACGCTCAAGGTGCGCGCGCCCTCCCCACCCCCTCCCCCCTCCCCGCACACTTGCCCGCCGTGAGCGCACACTTCCC